GTAGTTTTGACAAAAGCTTAGATAAAAATAGGTCAGGGTTTGTATAGGTTTATCTGTGAAATAAATATTTGCCTATTAGCGTAATGGTCCATTTTCATTTCTATTTTGGATTGTAAAGTTTGAGGTATTGCTTCAACAAGTAAGCATTCATGTATACGAGAATGCATAATAACGCTGTTTATTTGTATATTTATTATCCTCTAAATCGATTGATGCAGTATAGATAAATTTAAAGATGTTGTTTCCTCATCGCCACTTACTGGTGTTCATCTAAAAATTAGAGTTGCAGACTTGTTGATTTTAAGTCATTTTAACTATGGTGTTGTGGTGTGTGGTAATAAGAGGGCACCAAACTCGTGCTCGAAGTGTATTTAAGGCATTCGGAAATACGAAAGAGTGTCCTACAAACGGAAGGAGGTCAAATGGTTAACCATGGAAAACAGAAGGAAATTACACTTACTCGTTTGTTTCCATAATATTTTATGGATTCAGAAAGATCCCTATCTTTTTAATAAAATTGAGGGCTGACGTGTGATCTTCAATTTCGATGGTATATCCAACTAAATTATTCGAACGTTCGTTTCGACGTACTGTGAAAAATTTCTTTGCTTACGTGGAAAACTAATCAGTAAAGCTGTTTATAACAGCTGATTCGACGTTATTAATGCTCAAATTTTCTTCTCGAACCGATACTTTCCGAAACGGATCGCCGGAGTTCGTCAAAAAAAATAATTTCAGCCAGATGTCACAACAGTGTACAGTTTTCTGTACGTAATGCGCAGAATTTAACTTCCACGCGTCAGTGGTATAGTATTAATGCTAAAGGTTTACAATGTGCACTGTATTCTGTAGGGCATCACCTTAATATAGGAAAATCGATACGGAAAGGTAAAACCCCCAGAAGAAATGCTTGGCTTGATAAAACCTGACCTGTCGTAAATTTCGTAGGGGGAGGGTACAGAATATTATAACAGCACTGCACGAGAAATGGCTTTTTGACGTAGTGTTATTGTTGCTCTATTTTTTTTTGGCCTTCGATGTTGTCCTAGAGGTAAAGAGTCGTTTTATTGTATTTTTAAACGCGTAACTTAATAATCGTGTTTACAAAATTAATGTTCTTAACTAAAATGTGAAGCCATTTTGTTTTCGAATTTTGACCTATAGAATTATAATAATATCTAGACAATACTTAAAGATAAAAAAATCCACAGATTGATAAAATTAGCTTAAGGAGGGTCTTCAGACTGTTAAAAGATAGATGGAAGGTCTAAAAGAGTCAATTTTTTATATTGTTGCAAATTTAATGCCTCCCTCAGGACAAAGGATTCGCCGTTTTTATATAAAAAACCATTGAACCGGTACACATGTCAGAAGAAAGTAAACATTAGACTTTTCCTTATTGTTATGAAGTTTCAGGCCTCATTTATCTGTTGTTGGGTATTTACATACATTTGTTATGCAGACAAGTCCGCGCGCAAGTGTGTCCAGGTAGGTCCACGAGCAAGTGCGAAACGAATTGCGGCCACACACTATTCAGGTAAACCTCGAGGTTCACCAGTTGGTGTGGCCTGCTGCTGTGGGAAAAATGAAGTTGGCCTTCGCACTTGCTCTAAAAATCAGACACAATCTGATTCACTTCGAGCAGAGCTTGGAACTGAACGCGCCTTGAGTTTTCGCACTTACTCGCGTGTACCTGTACAGGCAAGTCTTAACACTTGCCTGCATGTGTATAGGCCGCTTTACATATTTATTGAATTTTAGATTTAAATTTATTATAAACGTTTACTGTAAATAGTTCTTTAACTTAAAATAAGACAAAATGTTCATAAAAACATTTTTTGTGGGAACCATAGTCTTTTTTTTTATATATCTCCCAAAATTTTTAAAACAACTTACTCAAATTGTGTCCGCTGGTTACATCTATTACTTCTTAGCACTTGTATTTTTTGTAGAAAAGTCAACTAACTATTTTAAGAAAATAAATCTTCTTTGACCGTATCTCGTTAACTGTATTACTTATTCTAAGCTGAGGAAGACGATCGCAAGTTGTGTCCGGGTAAGAATGAATCGCACTATAAATTCAAAATATGCTCGTGTTTATTTTATTTTTCAAAGTAATTTCCACAGGCTACTGTAATACTTTTTACAAAACTTCTGCATTCCTTTTTATTTTATTTTACAGAAGGGAGAAAAAAACATGTTTTTCCTATATATACCTCTATTTCCTATATACCTAATTACAAACCGATCTAGTGTATCATTTTACTACGTCAGTTCTGTTTCCCACTGATCCGAGCCACATCGGACATTTCCGTGATATTACCTCACGGTTGTGGGAGCAATCAAATGTTTTTGAAGATATTACCGCACATTTGTCAATCCTGACGGTCATTTCCGTGAAGATATTAGTGTTGTTTTGCAGTAATGCACCCAAGAAAAGTATAGTATGCGACACGTTTGGTAAAATTTTTAAATAACTCGTTTATTAAACACACAATTACTTTTTACAAAACTTCTGGATTCCTCCTGCGTCGGTTTTTGCTGAGTCGAACTTGCTGACGTTTCGCCAATCATCCTGTTGGCTTCTTCAGAGCTTGACTGAAACTGGCTCGTATTTTACTCTCTACCTGGTTTTATATTGTTTGAGGGGGGCGAAGCTAAATGAGGGGCATAAACACCGTCTCGGAAAACTGATTCCAATATTGGTGACAGGAAGAGATCTGAGTCGCTGTTAAGATTGATAGGTTGTTTATAGATTTCTATACACTCTCGGATTTTTCGTTGGTAGAAGTACTGATTACATGCAAGAATTTTTGTTTTATCGAATAAAATTTTATGTCCGGTTTCATGAGTGTGTTCGGCAACAGGTGATGAGTATATTTGTCTTAATTGTAAGGCTCTTTCGTGTTCTTTGAGTCTAGTTGATATTTTTCGTCCGGTCTCTCCAATGTATTCTTTGCCGCATATTCATGGAATGCTGTAAACTCCTGGCATCTCAAATGGAATTTTGTCTTTGACGGACCGAAGATGTTGAGAGATTTTTGGACAAGTGGTTTAGAACTTTTGATATGTGGTCAGTGATGTTTTGAATGTAAGGAAGGACCACAGTGGCAAGTGTAGGATTGTATTCGGCCTCATTGCTATTGGAAGGTTATGGTGAAGTGTATTTTTTGATGGAATGCTTAATATCTTTAATGTGTAAATTATATAGTATAATGTTTTCGGAGATATTACGAAACGGCTAGAATTTTGACGTTTGTCAATTCTGACGGTCATGTCAGTGGATGTATTCGTGTTGTTTTGGAAAAATGTACCCAAAAACTAACAGTCGTAGGAAAAGTATAGTATGCAACACGTTTGGTAAACTTTTTTAGTCAGTCGTTCATTAAACACTCGCTCCGCACGTGCCAAATAAACTTATGACTCAGATGCCGTTTACCACACTTGTTGCATAATATACTATTATTTTTTGGAAATTAATTCGACTGCTAAATAATTAAATAACATGCTTTGATTTTAGAAAAATTAATTAAAATTGATTGTTTTAGTTTCTATTAATTGATCCAATAATTAATGTGATGTTCTAAACAAGGAAAATAACTTATCCTAAATATATTATAACTATGAAAAAATATTAATCATTGCCACAATAAAACTGAGGGCTCATAAATTTCACCATATCAAAAGAAAAGAAACTTAATATCCGGCAATACATCTAGTTCATATTTTTATGCTCTCCATTATAAAAAACGTCGAACAACCAATTAGTTCGGAACCAAATCCCTATGGTTTGAATTAAAACGAAATTTTATGTTTAGCATAAGTCCATTGTGCACTGCTAACTGTTATTTATCGTTTATTATTATTATTTGATAAATGAAAAAATATCATATTTGAAGTAGCATCATCATCTACGATATAGTGAGGGAATAGGCTTCTTTTGATATCTCCTCAGCTATTAGTGACTTTACCAGAGTATCTACAACTGGTAAAAGCTGTATTGATAATTTACTAACAAATTTGCCCAATGTGTGGTATTACACCTGCGGGCAAACTAACAACAAATGAATCATTGTTTTAGATGAACTGGACTGACTTTTATGTCAATTCTGATGTAGTGTTATTCTCTTCATTCCTATTTAATTTCTTTAAAGCGTTTGTCCCTATTTACATCAAAATAAAACTACTATGCTTTTTGAGAAACACAAGAAAAATATTTCAAAAATGTTCCCGACATTCAAGGCATAGAACGTAAAATACCTTGCAAAGACAAAAATTATATCAAAACCGGAAACAGATCTAGTTCGTTTGGCTGATCACTTTCGAACTCTCATTAATTCTGGTTTTTAAACAAAAAACAATCATCGTTATGTTTTGTATCATTCATTGACTATTGTGACACTCTCTGTTGTTGTTCTTACCAAATTGTCTTGATTACGTAAAGATCTTAATGTTGTTGTTGTTCAACAATAACAAATTCTACAACAGACCCCAGAAATGAAGAATCACAAGTTATTATGTAGGCTATTCTGCTTCATTTTAATACACTCTTCAAAAACCTAGATATACATTGTACATACATTTTTTTGTCTTTTTTGTGCTTTCTCATATTAATGTGAATTAATTATAAATTGATATTACTGTCATTTTGTCTTCTTGCAGTTCTCTTTTTCTATTTTTTTATGAATATTTAAGTATATAAAATACAAATTATTAGCAGCTAATTTAACATATTATTAATGTACACTTCATATTGCATTTCTTATATGTTATTTTTGTTTTGTTTATTTTAAATCCGCAGAAAATAATTATGAAATAAAAAATAAAACCAATATGATGTATTCTGTCACAATATTTATAGATTTGTGTTTTATGACTTGTGGCCTATTGTTGTCATATTATTTATACTGAAAATAAATATTTGATCGATTATTTGATTTAATTTTTATTGAAATCATTTGACAAGCACCAACAAACAACAAAACACTGGCCTCACTTACCTGATATTTTGCACGCCTAGACACTGAACTACAACCACTACAACGTCAATCACTAGCAAATTATGCAAATCGAAATTAACGTCCACCGTGGAACGCGCCGTAAATTCCCGAAAGTCGACTCAAACCGCGAAAATTCGATCCCAAATTCGGGTTGCCCGGTTTCCTACAATGTTGTCGATGGACTGAACGACGCTCTGGACGCCTGCCTGCGACGCCGATCGACGCGCATATACTCTTCATCTGTTTTTGCCGTTTTCGAAGCGCAAAATTCAACACAGTTATTAATTCGTTTCAGGCGACGGTTTAAAATCTGCGACACAGTTGCATCCATTTAGGCGGCGGATTAAAAGGTTCCTATCCCCCCGCCCGTCGTGCTAATGGCCTATTTATTCACACGAAACCATCCCTCATGCACCTCAAGGCCCAGAGAGTAAATAACACCGGTCAACAAGATTTTTGGGTCCTACACTAAAATAAGAAAAAAAAAATTTTTTGAATTAAAGTTTGCTTTTCCAGAAACTAGAGCAATTTTTCATTTTTTCTGCAAAAGTAACTAAATCTTACGTTGTTTGTTTATAGTTTTACTTTAAGTTGTTGTAAGGAACGTTTTTTTTTAATATCAGTGCATTTTTATTCAAAATTTCTAATAAACAATGGCATATAAATGTAAAATAACAAGAAATAAGTGTCTAAAAATGAATATTTTTCTTATTTCGTTTATGTTCGTATGTTCGTATGGTCTCTCTCGGATTAAACCCCAAATGTAATTCCCCATCATATTCTCGTTGTGCTGCCCTTGATAACGCCGTTCAAAGTACATCTAGACAAAGTACATCTGGAAAACGTTCTCCTTATTCTTCGGAGTATCTTGTTACTTTCGAAAATCGATGAAATCGAATTTTTTCCTGAATAACTCTCGTGCCGTTGGAGCCACAAAATTAAAATTTGCCTCTTTTTTAACCATCCACGAGGCACATAAGCTTGTAAGAAATGGCCCTGATCCGACGCCGGCATCCATCTTTTTTTTGCGATGTTCGACTGCTTTTTGGACATTGCTATGAAACACGATAAGTGTAAGAAATTTATATGCAGCTTTGCCCCGTGACGAAAAATGGGGGTGGGGGAGTGCGGTAAGTAGTCTAAAAAAATAAAAAATCGCGTGTGCAAGGGTCTACAAAAAACATCGTTTTTTAAAAACCGTTTACGAGACCAAAAAAATTGTTGAACCAAAAAACGCAGACTTTTATTCTTGACAATTTTTCAAAAATATACAAGGTGCGCAAATGAAAAAAAACTGAAAAATGGGTATCCCTATTATTAAAAATTAGTTATAACTGAAAGACTATGATTCAGATCTCACTTTCTGTTATATTGCGATATAGCCCGCATAAACAGCAAACAATTTTCACAAGTGATCGATTTTGTACAGGGTGTTCCCGATATTCCGTACTAAATGAAAAATGTGTTAAGTGTCCCAAATTTGCAGATATCAACTTCAAATTTAGCAGAGAAGTTAAAGTCCGCGCCCACATTTAAACAGTAGAAATTGGGCGCAATCAAAATTTACCAAGTATTTTTTTTAAATGTTTGAATTTTTTTTTATTAATTTTAGCTTCCAGAAAAATGTTTTCCTCCATAATCGTTGACCCGATCGGCAAAATTCTTTAACCAGCAGACGCAGAAGAATCAGTGCAATAACATTTTTTTCGCGCATTTTTTCGATTATATACAGGGTTTTCAAATTATAGGCAAAAATCTGAAAACCTAGAAAATTGTTGTTTTACAGAGTAAATTATTAGCCGCATATCAAAAATCGTAAAAAATATGGCTAATTGGTTCAAACAGTGTCATAGGCCGCATCAAGAGCTACAATTTTTGTATTTGCGATTTTGGTCTATCTCATACGCTGCTCGGGATATCTGAAAAAATCCATATTAAAGTCGTTATTTCGGGGGCTGTCAAGACGCGATGACGTCATTGATTATTACGTCGCACTGCATGGTTTTAGAAAAAACTTATTTTCAAAAAACCATTCACTATTTTCAAAAAAAATTTGAACCAGGACGCATGGAAAATCCAGGGCTGTAACCTCTACTTCGCACAATGATTGTATCATCGTAGGGTGTGTCATTTATGTACAAAAACTCTAAAATATCCTAAAAATTTCCATTTTTGTGGGTAAATTATTGGCGATAAATGAAAAACCATTAAAGATGGGATGATTTTATTTGAACAGTATCGTAAACCGTGTTGTGAGAGAGTTTCAGGTGTCGTCAATTATACAGGGCGTGAGATATTTGAAAAAATATTATTCGACAACGGTATTATATCGATTTTGCGAATGGTCCATAGTGGTCCGCAAGAGCTCGATAGAAAAACAATGCGTCCCTTTACCACACGAAACCGCGAAGCTCCTTCCTTTTATAATAAAAAACTGTTTCGCGCTACGCTCTATGAACTTGTCCCACCCAGTGACGATTTTTCGAAAGCAATCTTGTTGACATTTTCCAACCCATTAAAGCTTTGAAGCATGTTGTCTATCAATTATTTATTGATTTATTGAAGATTGGTGAAGTCATCATTTTTAATTATTGGTTTAATTTGTGTAACTTTAGCTTCAGATAACTTAAGACAAAATTCTCTCAAATATTAAAAGCTGTGGAATTCGGATTCAGAGCTTTCACAAATTGCTTCATTAAGCCTAATTTTATATGTAATGTCGGCGTCAGTACATTTTGCCTTTTTGATTTTACGTTATGTTTTCCAATATGAAATTCGACTCGATGAGGCCATATACACAGTTGATAATGCATTGAATCTGCTCTGCTATCCCACAAGTAAAGATGACAGGAATATTTAGTTATGCGCCTTGCATTCTCAACAGTAAACCCACCATTTTGAAATTACCGACCATTGGCGACTGGTATCACTGTATCAATTTTTCTATTATTATGTTCACGTAGTCATAGCTTTCTTTTAAAAATAGAGAATGGGCTAGAGAAAGACTAGGCAATTCAATTCCGTTGTGAAGCAAAACTTCGTTTTAACTATTTGAAGAGCTATCGATAAAAAGCGCAGTCATATGCAACGAAGGGTATTCCAAACAATTCAGTTACGTTGTTAGAGTAACAAATGTCGGCTTCTTTTGTGAAAAAACATGAAACACTTTTATGGCGCTCTATTTAATCAGTAATTTCAGTCGTGAACCTAGAATTTCCGCTTTACTCTGGGATAGGTTCAAGTCCCGAGCTAAATCATCAAATTCACTTGGGCTGACGAAATGAGTCCCAAAATGGGGATTTTACCATTAATTCACTACCATCAGTGTAGGTTAGCGGTGTACTGGATTCTGATGAACTTTGTGACGCTTGAACTTCAAAGCTATCCGAAAGTGATGGCAGTTGAGGTTGAAGGAAGATCAGGATAAAAAATGTTTTCAGCATTTTTACTAAATCGACACTTACTTGGATTAAACATACAAAAATAACAATCATGAACATAATCACTAAGTTCCGTCCAAAGCCTTGGCATCGCAAAATTCATACATTTTTAATTTTTAATAATGTCGATCCTGATAACTTATTTTAAGGTTAAGTAGGTTAAAATAGGCTTCATAGACTTCGCAAAGTTTCACATGAAAATAAAACCAAATCATATCAACATCATGAACATCTTATTTATACTTTCTTGATGCTATTTTCTATCATATAATACACAAATACAGTTGTTACAGCTGAGATAGACCAGTAACTACAAACTTTAATGCTTCTTACAAATAAAAACGCGGTTTATTTTCAAGTCAAACAAGCCATCTTTGGCTTATAAAATAAATTAAAGTATATCCCCGTAAATCAGAAAAAAGCAAACTTTATGAACTAAAAATGGAAATTTTAATGTTTTTCAATGTCCAATTTGTGAAAAACAAATTTGGAAATTCGCTTTTTTAGAATGGCAGTTAATATGTTTTAAAGAAATAAAAAAGTTCATATAGACGTAGTTTTCACCCCCCGCACTTCTAACTTCAAAAAATGTGATGATTTGAATTAGACAAAATTTAATAGTGTTGAAGTTTATTTAAACTTTCGTTCTACCTTAAGAATGGCTTACTAAAGGACGTTTGCTATCCGTTTTATCTTGTTGAATAGCTATTGCAATAAGAAAGCTTTGTTTTGGAACAAATTTAATTGAAGACTTGAGAAATTGTAAAAAAAATGACGACTTTTGAACAAGTAATGCGGTTGCTAGGTTACAAAAAAATACGGTACTAGTGGTAGTAGTTTCAATGCGTTAATAAAAAATAAACTTTGAAATATCTCAGAAATTATTTTTAAAACATTGCACATTGAGAGAAATTATTCGTTTTTGTCAGACGCAACGGTAAAATTAAACAAGTCACTAACTATTTGCACTATTCACTATACAAAAAATCAATAATTTATATAACGTCTCTATTTATATTGTTATTATTATTATCACTTATATTCTTGAAACACAGACAGGGGGCTGGAGGGGCCATGGCTGGTTTTGCCCCTTCGGCTTGTCATATTATTGTAAAATTAGCCTAGTAACGTAAAATTAAATATTGATTGCTAATTATCCCAAAAACATCATCATCAAAATTTCGAGTGTCATTAGTAATTTTCTAAATTTTGTCTTAGAAACCTTAAGAAAACTAAAATTAAAGTTCTTAAATTAACCAGTTTCTAAACATTTTCATTAAAAAAAGACAATTCTCATTCTTTTTCTTAAAAGATACCCTTATTCTGAAAAAGCAGTGACTTAATACTAATATATTAAATAAGATATTAAAAGTGACAGAACGTATTGACCACCTTATTTACGTTTATAAAACGTGAGTTTAAATTAAACACTGTTGAGAGTGACTATGGGAATGTATATATAAGGCTTGAAAAAAATACACAAAAAAATCTACTACTAAGATTTTTTTTATTATTTTTCAAAAAAATGGTATGTGGTGAACATTATGAAACAAAATTTGAATAATTAAAAACAACGGAATCTTAAGAAGCAATTTCTGTGTTTGTTGAAACATAAAGGAATCGTACATTTAATGTAGAATACAAATGTTTTGAATTCACATGAAGTTTATTTGGACCTTGATCTTGAATCTTCACGCCATTCCGTCCAATAATCAATACCATCAAGTCGAA